GCCCCGAATATGTTACGAGTTTAAGGCCCCTCAATAAATCTGGAGATATCGACATATCAGTCTTCCCCGACGCCACGCCGACATTACCCCCCCCTATCTCCTTCTCCTACCCCCCCCCCCTACATCATGCAAGCAAGCAGTGGCGATAAGGTCGGGCCGCCTCGTCGATAAGTTCACCCGAACCTCTCCTTCGCGTCACTCCTGTTCAATTCCTGTTCGATTCCTACGACCTTGTTTTGTTTCCTCACTAACTTCTTGGGAGACGAAAACGAACGTCCTTTTTTTTATCCCCAGCGAAGGAGAAAAAAAATTGTGGAATTAATTTCTGGCGATTAAATGGCATTGCGCTGATAAATATTTGCAAGTGATATGATCTTACGACGATAAATTAAGCAGGACAGGAAGGAGATGGGGAAGGGGGGGGGGGGATGTTGGGGTAAGAAGGTGCCTTCTACATTTCAGGACATGGATACTGAGGTGTTGATATCATGGGACCATAAGCTTCCTCGCCTTCAACTCTTCGGGGATCAAGATGGACGCCAGGACCAAGAGGGATTTTCCACAAACCCATTTTGTTTGTAGTGTTTTATCTGCCATTTTATCATTTAAGAGAATTTGTAATTTATCATAAGTATTATTTCGTGTCTTTTATGAATATTGTACTGCGTATTCAATAACTTGTACTGCGTATTCAATAACTTTCCTGTATAATAAGAATAATAAAACAAACTACGAATGAGACAATTGCCAATACCATTAATCACAATAACAAAAGAAACTTTCACGTTATGATGAATATGAAAATCCCACTAATTTGCAATCTCCGCCAGAAAGTAAACCAGATGCATGAACACTACAACGAGTGAGATAATGATACTCGTAGACAATTAGCAAGAAACAACAAGTTTTGTAATTAACCTCGTGGCGTCTCGCTTTTCCCGCCAACACGCACTGGACACGTTTTATGGCGAAAGTAAAACCAACTTAAAAACCACAAGAGGAATTCGTTCTCCGCGACTTGAATGTTCTCGGTGAAAGATCAAAATTTATTGGTGCAATTACTGTTACTAATCTCTGGTTTCTAGTTAACAGGAAATCTGTAAAAGTTTATCAAATCATATTAGAGATTGGCGCCATCTGCTGGGTATGCGTTCGAACGTGCTTGGAAATATTGACGTTAACTATATTTATTTCTTTAGTATAATAATTTATTTATCATAAAAAGAATCAGTATTTATTAATAACATTACAAACTCACGAACATATCTTTTCGAAAGTGCGAAAGAAAAATAAACAAAGTCTAGGGTCACGTCTAATCATCGATTTTATTTGACCACGTTTCATTTCTCAATAACCACGATTCGGCCTGATTGCATTCGTTAACTCGTGTGTGTGTGTGTGTGTGTGTGTGTGTGTGTGTGTGTGTGTGTGTGTGTGTGTGTGTGTGTGTGTGTGTGTGTGTGTGTGTGTGTGTGTGTGTGTGTGTGGTGTGTGTGTGTGTGGGTGTGTGGGTGTGTGTGTATCTGTGTATCTATGTCTGTCTGTCTGTCTGTCTGTCTGTCTGTCTGTCTGTCTGTCTGTCTGTCTGTCTGTATGTCTGTCTCTCTGTCTCTTTCTTTCACTCTCTCTCTCTCTCTGTCACTTTCACTCTCTCTGTCTCTTTCACTCTCACTCTCTCTCTCTCTCTCTCTCTCTCTCTCTCTCTCTCTCTCTCTCTCTCTCTCTCTCTCTCTCTATATATATATATATATATATATATATATATATATACATATATATATATATAACATATATATATATATATATATATATATATATATATATATATATATATATATATATATATATATATATATATATTGTTCGAGAAGAGAAAAATTATATCATAACAAAATTTGTAAAATGAACAACAACAGCACAACACAAGGAAGAAATTAGCGCGAAGGGAACATTTGAAGTCCCGTAACAAAGGCAGTATTAACTCCAAACCAGCTACTGAAACGGATTCTCGTAAATCTAATCGGTGGAGCATATCCACTCTCCAAATATTTATAAATCAGAAGACAGTGATAGTCTGTCGGTACGTAATGTATGTGTCAAACGCAACAAATGGAGACAGTAGTAGAGTTCAACTTGAAGAGAAAGTCCACTTAATATTGCATATTGATAGGCTAGTAGATTTATTAGCGCCTCTTCATAGGTATCCACATTCGGACTCCGGTACTCACGTGAAGTGCCTGGTGTCGGGAACATCGCGGTTGGAGGCCAGCTTGTCGCTCTCGGCCTGGTTAAACTTGTTCCTGGTGTAGGCGTCCGCGCCGGGAGCCAGCGTGGCGGCGGCGATGTAGGCTTCCTCATCCAGGAACATCGACGGACGCAGGCCTACGCTGGAGCTGCCTCCGCCTGCGGCCCCCGCCCCCGCCGCCGCTTTGGAGAAGGCCTGCCCCTGCTGCGCGGTCACGGCGGAGTCCTTCAAGCGCAGCGCCAGGTTCTCCGAGCCCTAGGGGGAAGAAGGAAAGAAATGTGTAAAGATGAATACATTCTGCATAAAAACCTGCGCTGGATTTCACTCGGTATAGAATTTCAGACCAGCCCCTGCGACCCACCGACCCTCTCCGTCCCGCCCCTCTGGACGCGGCTTCCGGAGGTGACCCGATCCACGGCACGCGACGAGATGTCATCTGCGTTTGGTAACAAGCTGTGCGCCGAGGAACGACTTGTTCTGAGTGCAGCTGTGGCGTGGTCAGGTCATGTCATCAAAATAAATTTACAAACTGTCCCTCGTAATTCTCGTACATCAGCTGTCTTGCGAACAACGACGCACCTCGAAAACTGGTTCGAAAATTGATATAGGAAAAATATATACACACAATGCCTTCGTTTCGCCGTTGTTGAATCGTTTCGTCCCGACAAAAATCACCAATATTTTCGTCGCTATATTCGTTCCTGAATTTTTCAACCGACGTGCCTTTACTGAAGACAATATCAGCTGGACAAAGAACACTCGTAACTTCTAGAGTTCACGGGCGATAAATTTTCATTTCAACAGTATAAAAACTTTCCTCACATATTTCTAATGGCGAACTCTTTCTTATCGATTTATTAAATTCTACAACCTTTAAACGAGAAACTTATACAACTGTATGGTATTGGCCATGCGAATTTCTGCGTACAGCACAGAAAGTTCCTCTGTCGCTGGAAATGTCTCGTGTACGTATTGCTCTTTCTATATTGTTATTGCTATGTACAATAGCGTGGCTACAGAATGGGTGAGGGTAAGTTCCAATCAATACTGCTACTTTCCAATCATAATTAAAACAGAATAGGCATTCTGGTGTTATTTCAATTTGTAGTTAGAATAATGTATTAAACAGGGTCTACTTTTTCTTACGAATGTTCAACTGCAATTATCGACAAACATTCTAGTAATCTATTCTGTTCTTTCCTTTCTCACTTTTCTCTCTCCATACCGGGTCTGCTACTTGAGGGTTGTGTGCAGGATTTTTAGAAGGGTGGAAGCGGGGGAGAAAAATAAATCAGCCTTATCTTAAAATTTCTGCAAGTACATAAGGTAAGAAGAACTGAACGGGCGTTAACGGCACCAGCTGCTGATACCCATTACCTTTAACTATCTGCAAACATTTTAAACTCTTCCCAAATGGAAGTTAACTGCTTGAGTGCAAGGTTCTGTCCCTTTCGTTCTCTTCTTAGGCTCGTTTCAGACACACATCGATTTTTTGCGGCGGATGTACTGTCCACAGCGGACGCCGTTAATCACATGACTTATTATAGGTTTCTTCCGAGCTTAGATTTTTTTTACCGGCCGTAACGGTTATATTTGGAAGCGCGGCGTCGTGTCGTCCACGGCGGATGGTGAAAAATCGATGCGTCTGAAACAGGTCACAGCCCTATCCACTTTTCACGAAGTGGTCGACTAAAAGCCCTGCCTCGTGGAGAAGGGATCGTGACTACGGTGGTCGTGGAAGGCGTTTTGCCATTCTCGGGGCGAGTTTACACATCCGTAAACAACGTCGACATCTCATCCGACCCAACGCTGCTATGAATTATCCATGACATACGCTCATATATCGCGGTTCTGTCGGCAGAGTTCCAGAACATACAACCTTTCAAATATTAATTATTTACCTAGTGGCAAAATGTAACAATTCATCCTATCAAGTCAAGAATATATACCAATATACCATACGATAACGAAATTTTAGACAGCGCTATCTACACATTAATAAATTTTACAAGGGACAGTTCAGCTCTACTGCCATTGATATATCCTAAAACCTTAAAACAAGGCACTAAAATCAATCTACTTGCAAACATACTGGCGACAATGCCATTTATGCGTTGCTTTTGCATATTCTATATAATATGTATGTAATAACAGCTCAGCAATCAGTGATGGGTAATTTGTTGACCAACCCATGATCATCGCACTAATAATCTATACTTTTTCATAATTCACTTTGGTAAAAAAAGCAAACCAGCTCATAAATATCCGCGTTGTCACCAGTGTTTAGACATATATAAGCGTTCCAAACCAACCGGCCACACACCCCCAGTGCCGTGAATGGACGCATTATAGTCACAACCATAAAACCAGTCCTGTCTCATTCACGGCCTCTCGGAACTCCTCGAGCGAACAAACATCACAGGGACGGCGCTGTAATCCACACCACAAGGTACAAACACAACGCGATCAGATCTTGACCCTTTTCCCCCCAAACAACGCATGGCTGGAGAAAACTCGTCTCATGCTTTCTTCCCTTTGGTTTTGGGTCGAAAGTTCAGGGTGCAGTAAAGGACAAAGAGTGCTTGCATGTTGCTGTTACTGTTTTAGACAGACTGTGTGTGTGTGTGTGTGTGTGTGTGTGTGTGTGTGTGTGTGTGTGTGTGTGTGTGTGTGTGTGTGTGTGTGTGTGTGTGTGTGCGCGCGCGTGTGCGTGTGCGTGTGTGTGTGCGTGTGCGTGTGTGTAGGTGTAAACAAGTATGGATTTAAAAATGCATATGTGAATGAATGTAAGAATGTATGAACGTGTACTAATGTGTGTTTGTTTGTGTTTACGTGTATGTAAAGAGGTAAGAAAGTGGAAAAACGTATTAAAATACGAGTATCAATTTCCAAAATTAATCACATATAACTAAACATCAATATATAATAATGGATACTCTTGGAATAAGCCTAAATTTCTGCAGTACCATAAACCGACTTTCGAACCTGAATTATGTAATCCACTTAGAAAATCAATAGAGAAGCTAACATATGCTGTCCGAAAGGTGGGTTTAATTGACTACACCACGCTTCCAACATAAATTCCCCAGTCACTAACTTTTAATTACCATGCCTTTTGGAAACGAAACATCAATCTAAACATGATTATATCGCTCTCAGTATTTCTTAAATCCACATCTTAAATCTTAACTCCAATACAACACATACACACATTATTAATAGAAAACATTTTTCTCAAACTATTTAGTATGGAAGGAGCATTAGCGCTCAAGTGCGACCTCTAGCGAAGGGTATAATTACTAATTATACATTCCACATGTGTATATTTCTGTGTGTGTGTGTGTGCTTGTGGTGGTGAGAAGCCTTGCGTGAGTCTGTACGCGTGTGTATTTGCGCAAGTGTGTGACTATGATGCGTGTATATGTTCTGTGTACTTGCGTGTATATCCCTAAACATGTGCGTGTGTACCAACGACCCTAAAACGACGATACGGAAAAATGCCTCCCACGACAAACGCAACGGCGACACCAGCCCCGCCGAGAACCTAACGACAGACGTTATAACACGAGGCTCTGTACAAACCCCTCACACCCTCGAACACTCAAAACACACGAACTTTGTTTATTTCTATAGGGGGACAAGATCTTACATCTTGGAACCATCCCCCAAATGTGATGATAAAGACAGTAATAAAATACGTACAAACACACACATAGACACACACACAAACACCTACACGTATATACATACATACATACATACATACATACACAAATACACACGCATTATCTCTCTCTCTCTCTCTCTCTCTCTCTCTCTCTCTCTCTCTCTATATATATATATATATATATATATATATATATATATATATATATTCTTACACACACACACACACACACACACACACACACACACACACACACACACACACACACACACACGCACAAACACACACACACACACACACACACACACACACACACACACACACACACATGTATATATGCATATATACATATATACACAGACTCACACATGTATATATGCATATATACATATATACACAGACTCACACACACAAACACCCACACATATATACAGGCTACATAATACATACTAGTATGCATATATATATATATATATATATATATATATATATATATATATATATATATATATATATATATATATATATATAAGAGAGAGAGAGAGAGCGAGAGAGAGAGAGAGAGAGAGAGACTGCAGACTAGAAGAAAAAAAATCACCAAGCCGCCAATTTCAAAACCGATAAAAGTAGCGTACAGAACTCTCCATCCAAAAACCTAAGAAACGGAAGGGCCGGCGAATTCGATCAGTCTTCTTAAGCACACCAGCCACCTATCCTCGTGACGTCACAACTGCACCCAGGGTACTGAGTTACCCGGATGATAATGGACACCATGCCAGCTGCACACTGCTAGGCATTATTGGTCTCCGTGTGTAGCTTTCAGACTGTGCTTGATATCGTGTTTGTCATGCTCTTCGGAGAGAGGGGGAGAGAACAGAAAATAAGGGAGGAGAGGAGAGAGAGAGAAGGGGGGGGAATAATGGAAAAGAGTGGGTGGTAGGGGAGGAAGGAGAGGGTATAGTGAAAGGAGAGAGAGGGCGGAGGATGGCAGAGAATGGATGGAGAGAGGGAGAAGGGAAGGATAGAGGGAGGGAGGGAGGAGGGGATGGAAAGGAAGAGAGGGAGAAAAGGGAGAACGAGAGGGTGAGGGAGAGGCAAGATAAAAACGAAGAGAATGTTCTATATAAACAAAACGAGAAATATTAAAGTATTAAATGTGTTTACTCATTGTTTATTCACTGAATTTTGTGATTAATAATTTGAATGCATATATATATGCATGCGCGTTTACGAATAATTGCGTGGGTGCTATGCCAGTGTGTGTGTGTGTGTGTGTGTGTGTGTGTGTGTGTGTGTGTGTGTGTGTGTGTGTGTGTGTGTGTGTGTGTGTGTGTGTGTGTGTAAAATACATGTATATATATATATGTATGTGTGTATGTGTGTGTCTATATATATATATATATATATATATATATATATATATATATATATATATATATATATATATACACACACACACATAAACATTATATATATATATATATATATATATATATATATATATATATATATATATATATATATATATATATATACACACACATAAACATACATGCATACACACACACACACACACACACACATACAC